GTGTTATTTATAACAATAGTAGTTTTTTTTTTATTTTAAAAATATAACTATTTATAATGCTCCCTAAATAAAAAAAAATAAATTACAGTGAAAGCAATGAAGATTTTGTAGGTTTTCAACCAAACTAAATAACAGTCAACCTTTTTTTGATTTACGGTATTTTCTTATTTTGATGTTTTGAGCTCTTTCGTGTTTATAACAATATATACTAATTTTGAAAGTATCAAACTGAATTTTTGTTCAATAATAATCTTTCAAATGCGACTGTAGCTTTTTTTTTCCTCAAACTTTGTCTTCAAAATAAGGGTCCGTCTTATACACGGTGCGTCTTATATTCCGAAAAATACGGTATGTACGATAGTTCCGAATTATGAGCCGACAGAATAGAGAGGAGATTAAATTTTAGGTTCACTCTAATTATCACATAGTCGAGAGTGAATAAATAAATAAAACAACAAAAACTAATTACTTTCTCTTAGTTTATGAATTAAATGTTATCCTTAGTTTCGACCAAACGAAACTTATACTTTCACTGTCCGCGGAGCCTCTCAAACTGGACTGGAATATCTAAAGAACAAGACGGTGTGGATGGAAATGGTGAACCTAACAGCGACAATTTATGGCCCAGAAAAGGTGGATTCTTTAATAGACAACGTCTTTACAGCACATATTGACATGAATGACCAGTGGGCAGCAAACTGTCAATCACTGAGTGTAAGTATTTAAACGTAGTTTGAAAAATTGTCATTTAAGAGCCAGACTTATCGGCCCAGAGGGAATGTGAATAGTGTCTTACTTATTGTTTCGTGAAACACTGTGGTAACATGCCTTATTGTGTAATGTTTAATAGACATTTCATTATTAATAATATAAGAACATTGTTTATGTTGTGAAGTAGACAAAGAAATATTGTTTTTGTTTTGTTGTTTTTTACTTTAAGTCTTGAGGCGGCTTAACACATCTTAGATGTTCATGCGTCATCGGTGAATCACGTGCAGATTTACCTAGTAACGACCACCTCCTCTATAGGTAGCCGTCCATAATTTAGTAGTGAAAGTCTAAAGGGAAGGCAGCTACTCAAAACCACCCACCGTCAGCTCTTGAACTACTCTTTTTACCAACGAATATTGGGATTGGCCGTCACATATAATGTGCCCACGGCTGAAAGGGCGAGGATGTTCGGCGACAGGGATTTGAACCCGCGAATTGCGAGTCGAACGCTCCCTAACCAACAGACTATGCCAGGCCACTTGCTTATTTTCACATTGACGTTGTTTCGGTTTTATGGTTTGGAGTGGTTATATCAGACCTGAGTAGGACCTCCGTGTTGTGTTCGAAACGCCATCAACGTTGATCATCTCCAGGCAGCTAGTGTCTCTGACCAACACAGGTTGATCTTACATCAGAATACTCAGAAAGCTATTACTTGACAAGCTGGCCACCACTCCGTAACACCAGTAGAGATCTCAACATCGAAACCGAAACGTCGTCAAAGTCAAGAACACCGGGCAGTTGCTGCCTCTGATCAACGCACGGTAACACCAGATCAGAGGGAGGTCTCAGCATGGACTCCAAAACGTCGCCATCCCCAATAACACCCAGGCAGTTGCTGTCTCTGATCAACAAAATATAACATCAGATCAGACTTAGATTTCACCAAAGAGTCCGAAACGTCGCCATCCCCAATAACACCCGGGCAGTAACTGTCTCTGATCAACAAAATATAACATCAGATCAGACTTAGATTTCACCAAAGAGTCCGAAACGTCGCCATCCCCAATAACACCCGGGCAGTTGCTGTCTCTGATCAACAAAATATAACATCAGATCAGACTTAGATTTCACCAAAGAGTCCGAAACGTCGCCATCCCCAATAACACCCGGGCAGTTGCTGTCTCTGATCAACAAAATATAACATCAGATCAGACTTAGATTTCA